GCTTTGAAAGTCTGAGCCCTTCTAATCTGGAGCCAACCTTAACATAAGCCCAGTTCTAATGAAATAATGTCCGAGTGCAACATGCTTTTGCAAGACCCATCTCAAATACATCTGCAAGCCCACCGTGGCGCAATGCTCCGGAATCCTGGGTGTTATAGATTTCAGAACTTCCTGCTGCTCACCTGTGGCCAGGGCCTCAGCAGTAGCCAGGTGCAGAACGGTGTCATCACTGACCGGCCAATCAGGGAGTGCTGCCTGGACCTTGTTGAGGCCCCCCATTTCTTGGAGCTCTTGGTGGATCTGGGGGCCCGAAGTGCAGTACTCCCAGCGCTGGTTGCGGTATCCAAGGGCATCACCCGCACCAGAGAGCACCATGGCTGCCTGGTAGCGTTCCTTAGGGGGAACTTGGGAGCTGCAGTTGAATGTACACATGGAGAGGATTATATGAAGCCTGGAAACCAGTGCTTGGAACAATTATTTGTTCATATGTTAATACAGTCCCCATTTGGCTGGGAGGATTCCCAACAATCCCCTGCCATCCCGCTTTTTCAGCTGCTTTTAAAGCGTTCCATTTTTTCTCCCTTCCTCTTTGTCCTAGGTCTACTTCAATGATGATGATGATTATAATTATTATTTCCAAATTGTACTCATTATAACATAATTATTGGTATTTTATTTATTTATCGTGTCAGGAGCAAACCAAACAGTTGTATTGCATTTTTTACAAAACAAACAAACAGACAAACAAAACACAAAGTTTGCAAGCTTGGTAGTTGATTAAATGTCCTTTGACCAGTAGCTGGCCACTTGGAGTGCCTCTGGTGTTACTATAAGAAGGTCCTCCATTGTGCATGTAGCAGGGCTCAGGTTGCATTGCAGCAGATGGTCTGTAGTTTGCTCTTCTCCACACTCACATGTCGTGGATTCCACTTTGTAGCCCCATTTCTTAAGATTGGCTCTGCATCTCGTGGTACCAGAGTGCAGTTTGTTCAGAGCCTTCCAAGTCTGTGTGCCCAGGGGGAGTCTCTCATTTGGTATCAGCCATTGATTGAGGTTCTGGGTTTGAGCCTGCCACTTTTGGACTCTCGCTTGCTGGGGTGTTCCAGCGAGTGTCTCTGTAGATCTTAGAAAACTATTTCTTGATTTAAGTCATTGATGTGCTGGCTGATATCCAAACAGGGGATGAGCTGGAGATGTCACTCCCTTGGTCCTTTCACTATTGGCTGCTACTTCCCGGTGGATGTCAGGTGGTGCAATACTGGCTAAACAGTATAATTTATTTATTTATTTATTTATTATTTGCTTTATTTCTATACCGCGTTTTTCAGCCTAATTAGGCGACTCAATGCGGTTTACACAATGCAGGTTATCACAACAATAAACAGTTAAAAACACATCATACACAATAGCAAAATCCACAATTATTATCAATTCATGACGCCTCGATAACAGAGTTTCTACAGTGGTGTAGGGCGCAGACACCCTGTGATAATGCGGCATGTCTCATTAAGTGCCACGTCCACTGTTTCAGCGTGGTGAGATATGTTCCACACTGGGCAAGCGTACTCAGCAGCAGAGTATCATAGTGCAAGGGCAGATTTCTTCACTGTGTCTGGTTGTGATCCCCAGGTTGTGCCAGTCAGCTTTCGTATGATATTGTTTCTAGCACCCACTTTTTGCTTGATATTCAGGCAGTGCTTCTTGTAGGTCAGGGCACGGTCCAG